TCTGAATGCGCAGTGGCTGTGAACACAGATTAATTCAAAATCAAGTGTATAATGAACTTGAGGTGTTTTTAGCAGTGCTCGCTGTTGCATTATACAGCTTCACTGAAGCCCTGTTTCTGAACACAGCACTTTGCTCTTTGCATGCCGTCATGTTACACGATGGCCAACAAACACTGCCTGAAACACCTTGGTCATAGTCAAGACTTTGCATGTTGTAATACTGTACTGTAAGTGACTTTAAGAAGCATAGTGATTTAGTTACAGAAAACCAAGACTTTAAATATTTTTCTGTTATTCCTCAGCATATAAGTATCAAATTAAACTCTTTGGATTGTTTCGTTAGTGTTTGATTTCAAAAGTTGTCATTTGTGGCCAAATGTGGTGCACATGCCTTTAATCCCAACACTGGGAAGGCAGAAGCCACAGAGCTCTGTGAGGCCAACCTGTCTATATAGTGAGTTCCAGGCCAGCCAAGGCTACATAGTGAGACCCTGTCTCAAAAAAAAAAAAAAGGTAAAATAAATAAATGTTATGCTGGGCGTGGTGGCACACACCCTTAATCCCAGCACTTGGGAGGCAGAGGCAGGTGGATCTTTGTGAGTTCAAGGCCAGCCTGGTCTACATAGTGAGTTCTAGGACAGCTGGGGCTACAGGGAGACCCTGTCTCAAAAAGATAAATAAATAAATAAGTAAATGTATGTATGTATGTTGTTTGAGTTGCTGATTTGAGGTACATAAAAAGTTCTTAGCGGATTTTGGCTTAAAAGAATCAGGACAGAATTTCTAACAATTTCTGAAATTGCCCTAAACATGCTTCTGCAGATTTTGTGCTATTTATGTGAAGCACTCTCAGCAGTAGCAGTTAAAAAAATCAGCAGCGATCAAATCTAAAAAACACTGAAGGTGTTTTATATCTTGCAGTATCAGGTATTCAGCCAAATTTTAATTCTTTATGTAAAAATTAACAAGTTAATTCATCTCAGTATGAAAATTTGCTTCCAGCTTTAATAAATGGCAAAATCATATCTCTCAAAGAATTACTTTAAAATACAATTTTTTAAATGATTTATCAATAAATGTTTGATTTGTATACCTAAGTCTCTAGGTCATGTAAAATTTCTTGAGAAAAGGTTCACAGTAGAAAAATATTTAAGCAGCCCTGGTTTAGAATGTTACTTGTAGCAGAAAATTTGCATTATACTGACTTTTTTAAGTTTGCTTCCCATGTTCTCTGTCCCTAAGTGCCTGTCCTGGTAAGCCTAGGTAGAGCATGGATTTCTGTTGCTAGACGGGGTCCCCTTCCTTACTGTAGTAAGCTGTGTCTTCTGTTGTCCTTCATGAGCATAAAGGATTGTGGAAGGAATCTGCTGTGTGTACAGCTGTCTGTGTGAAAGTACATACTCCCGTGATGAAATAGACCCATGCAGTGGGCAGGAACTGTGGAGATGGCAGAGTTCTCAAGATATAGTGAATTTATATTATTTCTGTGGATGAATCGTTGAATAGTGTGAACCTAACATTTCGCTATTTTTAAGTGTGTATAATGCAGCTTGAAGAACCTGGAAATAGCACAGGCATTGTTGAAAGGAATTCTTAAATTAGAGAGCTAGTAATAAAAATGTTCTGGTGGCACACACCTTTAATCCCAGCACTCAGGAGGCAAAGACAGGCGGATCTCTGTGAGTTCAAGGCCAGCCTGGTCTACATAGTGAGTTCCAGGACAGCTGGGGCTACAGGGAGACCCTGTCTCAAGAAGACCAAAAAAAAAAAAAAAGTTCTTACAGCGCTGGAGAGATGTCTCAATGTTTTAAGAGCACTGGCTGTTCTTGCAGAAGACCCAGGTTCGAATCCCAGCATCCATATGGTGGCTGACAATTGTCTGTAACTCCAGTTCCAGGGGATCCAACGCTCTCTCTTGTCCTCCATGGGCATTGCACAATACAAGTGCACTTGCACACATGCAGGCAATAACATTCATACACATAAAATAAAAAAATAAAATAACAAATTTTTTAAAATGTTCTTACTAGAACCTGGCATTCATTTTTTCTTAATAGAGGCATTGGTGAGTAGGTGAGTATGGAAAGGAGTGGGAACTTCTATGTTGTTTGCTTTTTATATTATTAGCAATATATCTTCGGGGGAAGGTAATTGGCTTGCTGCACTTATCCAGGTATTGGAATACTGTGGGGAAAGTCAGAGTCCTACCAGTTTTCATGTGATTCCAAAGTTACACACACAAGTTTTCCCCATTGACAGATTTTCTGGTTTACCCACCAAAGGACTTTAGAATTGTATACATTGTGTTTTTAATTAAGTGTTGAGACTCTGAAATTACTTTTTGATTTGTTCTTTATTGAGTCAAGATCTAATCACAACTTCTAATGAGTGGTGGTGTCACTGCAACAGAGGCCATGCAGGCATTTCCAGTGTGTGCAGAAGTACCAGTGGCAGTGTATCTATGCCTTGTACATAACATTTAGCTTCACAAAAAGATCAGTTCTGCTTTCTGTTTTGTTTTTAATGTATGCCGTTAGAAAGGCTTTCAAAACTAGAGGTAATTTAAGAGAATGTTATAAATTGTAAGGTGCTATTCAGAGAAGTAGAAGTCAGTGAATGCTTACTGAAACACTGATTTAGTGACATCCTTCATTCTGTGGGGTGGCAGCATGTTGGTATGGGGTGATCCATTGGGCTGCTAGTGATTATTTGACAATAGTCAGAGGCTTGCCAAGGATTGCTTTCAGTGATCTAGAGCAGTTATTCATAGTGACATCACTTGCACTTGAGTCTTGAGTTTCCCATGCTCATTCTTTCTGAGAGGAGGATAGCATCAGAGGAAGGGAAAGACTAGGTTTAAAGTCCTTCACTGTGGCTTTCCTTCAAGACCTGCTTGCTCCTGCCTTACCTCTTTCCCAGTCTTCCTGGCCTGCACTCACCTGCCTTCTCTGATCTTAGGAGATCACTGTGGTGGGCATCTTCACTTTCCTCCCATCTCAGCCCCGAGCTTTCTCTAAGGTTTAGGCATATTTCTTCCTGGTTCATTTTCTTGTGCTGCATTTCTTAAAGTGGAACTGGCACATGAAAAGGTTGGAACAGTTCACAGATCTAGTGGCACTTTGCCTGAAAGGTTTTCAGAAAGCTTAAAACAAAAGTGCCATTAGCTGTGGTAAGCAGAACTTGTTCCCCCACATTCCTGACAGTGTTGGGACCTGCTTATTTGACCATGCTACTTTGTGACATCAAATCAGAAACTGTGTTTGTGTGTGGAGGGGGGTGGGTGTGTCTATTGCTTTTTTCCTAGGTCATTTTCTGTATTTTTAATGATTTCATTTAGTTGGGACAGAATTTCCAGTATGTATGACTACTTGATAATACCCTTTTATATTAGCTCAAATTATTTTCCAAATTTAATTTCAGAATTTGTGGTAGTTTGTGAGGTAAGTTGAGAATATTGATTTTCTTGAATGATTAGCTGCAATTATTCCTCAAAGTTCCTTTTTCATTTCAGAATACATTGTAGTTAGTGATGGATGAAAAGAATGATGGATTTCTGGGTCTGATAATTTGAAGTTGAGAGATAAAGAAATAAACCTATGCTAGAATAATTTACCAGAACTATAAATGAAATAGGAAAGAATATTCTTTAAGTTCTACCTGCTGTGATTCAGAGCTGTTAGCATTTCTCTGGAATTGATGGTCTTCTCAGTGTGAATAATTGTTTCCTCAAATGCTAACTGTTCAGTTATTCTTAGAAGTAGCATTTGCTAGCAGGGATGTCCCCTTCCCTGGTTGCAGTGCTCTGCCTTCCTGTACTGTATGCTGTTCAGCTTGTCTCCTCCTTGGCCTCTGTGCTCTTGGTGAGCAGCAGCACCCTGGAAGACATGTCTCTAGATCAGGGCTACTGAACCTTTTCCCCCCTCTACTATGTAGGTATATAAAATAGGTATGCAAATCAAACATTTACTGATAGCAAATCAAGGAATTTAAAACAATTCTTTGGTATACACATAATTTTATCTTTTATAAAGATGAAAGCAAATCTGTATTCCAATGAGATGAATGTGCTTATTTATTTTATATAAAGAATTGTTTTGGCTGAATGTTTGAGACTGAAAGACACGGCATCTTCGCTGGGCTATTTTGGGGGGGGGTGCATCTTTTTTGAGACAGGATCTCTCTGTAGTCTTAGCTGTCCTGGAGTCACTATGTGGACCAGGCTGGCCTTGAACTCACAGAGATCCACCTGCCTCTGCCTCACGAGTGCTGGGATTAAAGATGTATACCGCCACATCTGGCCTAAGAATTGTCTTGGCTGAATGTTTGAGACTGAAAGACACAGTGTCTTCGCTGGGCTCTTATAGTACTCACAAGTCATTTATAAGGAAAAATTGTAACAGAAAGGACATCATCGTTGGAGTGGGGATAGGGATTTAAGCCTTGAGTAGAATAAAATCATTTAAACAAATTGTGAACTGTTGTCATACAGTTTTTTTGTATAATATATGTACATGGTTTAAAGTTATGTAGACCTTATAATGAAAGGAAAATGTATCCCCCCCCACCCCCGCTACCAGCCTGTGGCTCACTCTTAAGAATTACTTTAAATCATTTAGCTCTCTTTTATTATTTGTATTTTTATTTTAATAGAATAATTTGTCCATTGTAAGCATTATGTATTGATTTTTTTCCTCCCAAAGCATGAAGCTTACCTGTTTTATCCTTTCTCCTCATTGCTCACAATAAAATTATACCATTTGTTTTTGGCTTCACTTTTAGTTCCCTGGTAGCTTTAATATGCCAGCATCTTTTATCATTTACCTAATCTACAGAGAGTATCCTTTTTTACTTCTTCCATCTGGAACAGTAAATTGGGGTATGGTTAGATAGAGTTAGTCTAAACCCAGAGCTCTAGGTATTGTTGCATAGTTAATCTGGAGGTAATCTAAAATGATTTATATGAAGTTTTATCATAATCTTTGCCTTTTTATGTTTTATAGGAATAAATACCTACCCACCTACCCTTAATTGATGAAAATGAAAATACAAAAGAAAGAGAAGCAGGTAAGTGGTCCCATTTCTTTTAGGTGCATGTATCCATTGTACTTTGCACTGCTTCCCTAGGGTGCACTGGCTTTGTAGGCTCCTCTTGCAACCGCTGGTGGTTCCCTGTTGCCTTTTCTTTCTATTCTGCATGTAGTAACAGAACTCTGAGTGACTAATAACATGGATTTTTCCTTTTGCTTGAGTCATGTCCATAAAGGAGCAATATGATGAAACTAAATCAGAATGTTATTTATAATTAGCCACCACAAAACATTTCCTTCTTGGAATAACTTTTCTTTTTATCTTTTTTATTATTGTAAATTGCTTGTTCACTTTGTTCAGTTTGTGGCTACCTGAAACACCAATTATTAATTTTTTTTATGTGTATGTGTGTTTTGCCTGCCTGTATGTAAGTGCATCTATGTGTGTAAACTTATGAAGTCCAGAAGAGGGCATCAGATCCCCTGGAACTGGAGTTCTCGATACCATATGGGTGCTGGAAACCAAACCTGGTCCTCTGGAAAAACAGCCAGTGTTCTTAACTGCTGAACCTTCTCTCTAGTACCCAAACACCAATTAACAAAAATTGTATTTATTTGTTTATGTGTATGAGTGTATAAGTATATCTATGAGTGCAATGCCTGTGGGGGCCAGAAGAGGCCGGCAGATCACCAAGAACTGGAGTTATAGACAGTTGGTAGCCTCCATGTAGATACCGGGAACCAAATCTGGGTTCTCTGCAAGAGTAGTAAGTGCTCTTAACCAATGTGCCATCTGTCTAGCCCCTTAGCCCAACTCTTCAGATATTCCTGGGATATGACCCAATTCTCTACAATTTACATATTAATCATTTTGGATTTTTAACTAGAAGCATTCTGTGTGTGTGTGTGTGTGTGTGTGTGTGTGTGTGTGTGATGGCTCACATGTGGATATTGGAGGACAACTTTGTGGAGTTAGTTCTCTCCATCCACCTTTCTTTATATGGGTTCCAGGGATCAAATTTAGGTTGCCAGACTTGCTTTGCAAGTACCTTTACTGTCTGAGCCATCTTGCTTGTTCTAGAAGCATTCTTTTAGTTCTAAAATACTTATAACTGTGGCTGGTGTGACTTACCCAGGATCTCTTTTCTCGATTGGTACTTCTCTTTTGCTGATGCTTTTATATTGAAAGGACCCTCAAGAACTCAAATCTGTGTGGCTTAGAGAAGTGAGATGTGGAGATCAGCCTCTGCCCTTTATACACATCCGTGTCTGATGGATGGGTTTTCCTTGTATAGAATTGAATGACAATCTGGTAACTGGGAGATCTGAATTCCTGCCTGGCATTACGACCCTGTGCAAAATAGTTGGCTATGACCAGCCACTCTTTCTTCTCCAGTCTATTCTTAGGAAGTCTTAGTTAGATTCAAAGTAACTTAGGGATGTGATTACAAAGACTACCCTCTGGACAGTCCTTAGAGGAGAGCTTAATTTGCAGAAGTCTCTAAACATTGGATTTCTATCTGAGTAAGTAACAAGTTTCACCTGCTATGTATTTATCCTATGGGATATGCTCAGAAAGGCATGCAGAACAGTATGTTATAGTCTTTTATTACTGTTGATTTATGATAGCAAAAGCAAAAGAACCTACACATCCATTGGAAAAGGGACCACTTAAATTATAGTCTATCCATGGTAGAATGTTTTTCCACTCTTAAAAAGAATACATGACCCAGCAGGGTGTGGTAGCGCACACCTTTAATCCCAGCACTTGGGAGGCAGAGGCAGGTGGATCTCTGTGAGTTCAAGGCCAGCCTGGTCTACATAGTGAGTTCCAGGACAGCTGGGGCTACAGGGAGAACCTGTCTCAAAAAGACCAAAAAAAAGAATACATGACCCAAACCCTCAAAATTGTTTTTATTTATGTAATGTGAGTAGACTTAAAGTTCTTAAAGCAATATTCGTCTTTAATTTTTTAACATTCTTTAAAGTGAGCTTTTCACCCACGTGGCGGCTACGAACTGTCCTTAACTCCAGTTCCAGGGGAATCTGAAGCCCTCTTCTGACCTCCACGGCATTGCACGACACGGGTGCACTCATATACATGCAGGCAATACACTCATACACATAAAATAAAAATTAAAAAAATTTAAAAGCATTCTATAATAGTTACCCCCAAAATTCTGATTGATGTTTTTCTTTCATGATTTTCTTGGTTCATATTAAGACCCCGTTGTCAACCAGCTATTGCGCATCATTAGTTAGAGGGGGTTTTATTTTAAACCTTATAGTAACTTGGTGAGCAGAATGGGATTTTTACTGTGTCTTATGCGTATGTGTATATTGCCTGCATGTATGTAAGTGTATCTCTGTTGTGCAATGCCCATGGAGGTCAGAAGAGGGTATCAGATCCCCTGGAACTGGGCTTACGATGGTTGTTAGCCACAGTGTGGGTGCTGGGAGTTGAACCCAGATCCTCCGCAAGAGCAGCCAGTGCTCGTAACCACTGAGCCATCTCTCCAGCCCCCAAAATGGGATTTTTATTTTAAGGTTAGTATCAGCTGTGGTAGAGGATTGGGTTGGGTACAAGGAGCCACTTGGAGGAGGAGCTGTTGTGCTCCTTTTGTCAGTATTGTTGTTGGGTCACTGATTATAGAACTGTTTTTGTTGTAGAGCATGAAAATAGAAAATTGCACTATAGCCAGAGCAATCTGTAGGCTCCAGGATTGAGCGTGTATCACAGAATTTGGGGTCTGATGAAAAAGAGGTGCTACCCTGGTCTAAATATAGGCTTTGATTTATATAGAATGAGATTGAAATTCCCACTCTACCACTTAGGTTCTTTCAGCAAGTGCAGCCTCATTTTTCTTTCACTTACATGGGAGCAGTCATATGCACCTCACACTGTAGAAGATTAAATGACTTGTCAAGTATTTAGTAACTTGTAGTATTTAGTATTCAGTATGTCAACCACAAGGCAATCTTTAATGTGTAACGGTAAGAATAACCACCAAACTCTTTTACCATGATTCTGAAATGTTAGAAACAACACAGAATAGTAGGCTGGGGATATGGCTCAATGGTAGAGCACCTGCCCAGACTGTACTCAGTCCCAGGGGTAATCCTCAGCACTGCAGAAAAAAGGGTAAGACAGAATACAACATCCATTCTTTAAAAACCCTCATTCCTTTTAGTTCACTTTTTCCTCTTCTCTGAAAAAAAAAAAAAGACATGTAAATACGTTCTGATCTTTAAAAATTCATTTACTTAAGTAGTTCAAAATTTTATCAAGGTAAATTAAAATGAGATGACAGATTTTGTAAGTTAATCAAAATTCAGTAATAAGTAATCATGCTTCTTATTAACCAGAAGGGGCATAACAGGTGGTGTACCAAGAACAAAGGCTTTAGAGATTGACTTTGTATTGCCAAAGGAAACATTACCAGAAAAATAAGACTATTAGAAATGAATCTTACTGTCATTTTTATCAATGTTAAAAATTAACTGAATCACCTTTAAGAAACATTTGGCATTAAATTACTAAGATGACCAAGCAGTATTAGGCAGAAAAAAAATAAGCTGGGAATTCTAATCACTAACAGCCCGTATGGCACCATTGAGGCATAGTATGGCTGAAAATACTTCTTAAGAGGACGCATTATTTGCTACTGAAAGGTATAAAATTTGACATAGTATGCAGTATGGTAAGGGGCAAAAGATTTTCTTTACTGCACATGTCTAATATAGATCAATACAGTTAGAAACAGGTAATATTTGGAGCTATATCCAGGAGGTATCCCACACTTAAAATGACTATGGGAGAACCTTGCTTCTGTGACGAAGAGCCAAGCAGGCATATCCTTCATTCTTAGGTCCACTAGAAAACACAGAGTTTGGGGGAGGAGGGTGGGTTTCAGGTGTCCTGTGGGAATCTCAGGACTTGAGACAGTCTGCGCTTCCTTCCTTATAGTGAATATGAACGTAATTTAGTCACTAAACATAGTGCTGAGTTCTCCACATTTTTCATCTAAAAAAATATTTTAGTTCTACTTGCGGTCAGGTTCTGCAGCAAGTGAAAAATTGTTAAGAAATGTATAGTCTTTAGTATAAATAGGCAGTTAAAGTAGGGGGTGGCTTATGCCTCAGAAGAGCCAGCGTTTTTCATTGTGACTAGAAGAGTCATTCTCTGGTGCTGGAAAGTGCAGGGGTATTGGAAATGTTAGTTTGAACCTTGGTTTTACAAGATTCAAAACCCACCAAAAGGTAGGGTGGGGACTCCAGGGAGAGCCAAGTTGTTTCAGAGGACTCAACTGGGAAGGAAGAAAGTAATACCTTGTTCAGGAAGTGCATGGTAGTAAGGAAGAAAGGAAAGACCTAGGATGAAGTGCCAAGGTGAACTAGAAATCATCATGGTGGATTTGGCTGGCTGCACAAATCCACCAGCACATTTTGTCTCTGTCTCTAGTAGGGAAAGGTCAGGCCTCTGGTCTATAAGAAGCTGCTTACCACCGGTATGGGTCATCCAGTCCTGAGCTGTAGTTCAGTATTGAAAAAGGAGGAAGAACAAATTTGATGATATGGATGAGTAAACAAGTGATGCTAAGACTTTTCAGTATAATCCTTCAAAGAGCAGAGGGCCGGCCGCCACTAGTCAGATCTTTAGATCGGTAGTCATTGGAAGGCCCTGTAAAACCAAGGTTCAAAATCTCCTCATTCTGGAGTCATGATTCAAAAAGACTTAAAATGGACTTTACCCAACTCCTCCTCCCTCCAAAAAAAGAGAGAGATAAGTGTTAAATACTTTCCTCTACCCTTTAATACACCATCACAGATTTTCCTCCCATCATTCTAATTGGTTTTATATTCTGAAACATAACACTTGAGGCCAGAGAGAGGCCTGCCTGGTAAAAGACAGCTGACTCATTTCATGTGAGGTGTGATGGATGAAACAGGACCGACTAGCCCTGAAGTGAAGACTTAGGGCCTCACATAAGAAAAGAGATTGAGTGTATCCGTTGATGAACTTGTGGACAGGAATGA